AAAATTTAATGGAAAAGCATTTAAAAACAAGAAAATATTACTATCTATAAGGTGATATTTGTGCTAAGTTTAATAAGTCATCCATAGAAAGACAACATATAAAACATTACATGGCTCTTTCTATCATCTATCTACTTATCTATTTATTATGCAATAATGGAGATTGAACCTAGGGCCTCTCACATGGTAGGCAAGCATTTTATAATTGAGCTATATCCCCAAGTCTGCATAATCCATCTTGTAAGCGACATCTAAAGCATCACAGATGTACATGAAGACTATAGAACAGGGGTTTCAGGGAGAATGAGGAAAAGGAGGATGGGGTTACTCCTTTGGTAAACAGTTACCATTACTGTTAAATGGGTATACAGTCACAGCTATACAGATAAGTGAGCGATATACTATAACAGCACGGTGCCTGTAGCTAATATGCTACTGCCTAGCAGGGTGGGACTCACACTTCGCCTCTGATCACACACACCACAAAACACCACACCCCATGTACCTAACTACCTCTTCTAACTCCCTAAGGGAATGCCATTACTGGGTTTATCCTTCCCCAGGAAGGGGGAAAACCTCTGCAGGGACAACTACAGAAGCCAGGTCATTCTGAACATCCAAAGTTTCTGAACATTATTCCAGAAAGCAGATAGGCAACTCCTGCTTACTGTAAGCAGGCAGCGGCACTATCTCAAGTAGGAAGACAGAATTCATGTTAATGGTACACAGGTCCCTCAGGGTTTATCTCAGCATGTCCACAGGAAATCCCTCCTAAAATCTGGTCCCAAGGATCCTCCAAGGTCCTCCTACTAGGCAGTTCTGAGATGTCCTAAGTGAACTCTCTAGTCTAAGCACAAGGACTGATTGCCTTAAGGTACCTTTAGCCCCTAGTGTCCACTCACTCTACTTGTTCAGTGTAATCACTACCCAGCTGCCTCCTGCTACCATTTCTGACCCCGCCCCTCTCCAGCAAGATGGAGACAGCAGGAAGTGAATGCGCGCATGTGCTCTGCCTCTCCCAAGGCCATGGCCACAAACTTACTTGTGCTTTAGCTATTGTTTATTTATTTCCTTTGAATACTTGAGCTGAATGGTTCAAATATTCCTTTAATTTTGTTGTCTCTCAGAAAGAAAATATTTAGACCCTCTCTGCTCAAAAAGTGCATTTTCCAAATTGAGGCATTTTTCAAAGTCTGATTTCATTACACAGTTGTGTCTTGTAGCCTTGAGGGTATTTGTAAACAGTCCCAGCTTTCTCATTTTGTTTTGGCACAATCTAAATTCCAATTTCATGAAAATTAGTGTTGTGCTCTCTGTTTCTAGAAGACTGCTTTAAACAATTCTGTTACAGATTGGAGATGGAGTTACCTTAATATCCTTGTATTGGTTTAATTTTACAAAGTTTTCATCAGTATTTCCTTCCTAGGTCAATATATCTGGGATGGCTAATCTTGGTTGTCAACTTGACTACATCTGGAATTAAATAAAATATAAGCATCTGGGCACACCTGTGAGGAATTTTTCTAGATTGGACTGTTTGAGGTGGAAAGGCGAATCCTAATTCCAGATGATTCAAAGTGGAAAGATGCACCCTTAATCCAGATAATCTGAGATCAGCTCTGGGATACACCTGGTGGCAGCCAACAAATAAGGACATGAAAGTAAGATTTTTCTTTTTGCCTGTTTTCCCTCATTTGTTTTGGCATGTTCATCTATCCTGCTGCTGAGGCATTACTTTACTGGTATTAGAATCTTTTGGATTCCAGTATAGACTGAAAACTAGCAGAGACATTCAGTCTCATAGACTGAACAACTACTAGACTCCTAGCTTTCTGGTCAGGAGACAGTCACTGCTGGACTAAGCAGACTATAGCCTATAACCCACTCTCATAAAGCTCTTTTTAGTATACAGATTCATTCTATCAATTTTGTCCCTCCAGAACCCTAACTAATACAATATAATTCCAAGTTTTATTAACACCCAACATGTTTACATGCCTAAACAAGCCTGAGGAATGGAAAACTTTGAGCTCACTTTGATGCCCACTTTTAAAGTGGTCCAAGGTGCCTGATGTGGCATTGCCACTGGCCTGATTTTCCTAGGACTTTGAAAATTCAATCTCATTTTCAAATCAAGATTATGAGGGTTCTAAAGTTATAGACTTGTGCAGGGTTCAGGCATTACATTTACTAGTTGGGGTGGGGAATGATTACTAACAAAAGATGTAGGTTTCTCCTTACAAAACCATGACTATTGTTCATAATATTTTAGTTTATTTTGTGAGCCGATTCTTTTCACTCTCAATCACAAATAGTAATATAGAATCTCAGTAATAAATCCTAAAATTTCTATTGAGTATGTAGCTCAGTAAAAATAGCTACGTGTCTCAATAGAGCAAAAAAAAATATCGATAGTGCAATTGCATTATAAATAACATGTAAAGAATTCAGATGTCAAGCAATAAACTTCATAAAATGTCCATTATTGTGAGTGCAATTGACATAATACACTCAGGCAACAGCAGAAAAATGTGACTTGCAGTCCAGGGCTCCAAAGCATCCATTTACCTTCTGTCTGTCTGTCTAATTAGCTAACATCTATTTACATTTATATACCTATTATCTATCTACCTGTCTATTATCCATCCATCCATCCATCCATCCATCATCTACCCACCTGTCATCTACCTATATATCTATTTCTACCTATCTGTCCGCCTATCAGTTATCTATCTTTTGTATGTTTGTGTCTATATAATATTCACCTTTCTTTATATTTATTTACCATCTGCTTTTCTATCAAATGTGATTCTATCAATCCATCTTTTCATCTCTCTCTATTGTTACAGTCACAAAACAACAAGCTAGCAAGGCTAGAGTAAGCAGTAGTCAGGCTCAGTGGATTCCTGGCATAATGAAACTGTACTTTTGTCATTTCAAGTCATCGTCACACAACGTTAAAATGCTCACAGAAAGAATGTCCAGAAGGGAGTATGCAAATATAAAGAAAGGAATAAGCTCTAGAAAGCTGTGTTACTAGCCAGTGGACAGTAGCTAAAGCAATAGTTGCTTTGGCAATAACATACCATGAAAGAGATCAGGAGGCTCGAAAGTGGCTCCTGTCACTGCTGTCCCCCAGTGTCAGCGTTTAGTACACAGGCTGTCTGGGAGTTTATTGCCAGTAGCTACTTTAAGCTGAGGACTGTGGAGCCCTCGTTTCTTAGAGCCTACTAGATGTCTCGGTGGGTGCCATACAGATGCCTCACACATTGCGTGCCCTATCTTGAATTAACTGCCTATGAAATTGCCACCCCTACTTTCTTTTCTTACAGCATTTGTTTTAGATAGACAGATGGGGTGGTGGGTGGTGGGATCATGGTACTCAAGTTAGTCATTTCAGAACTTGGAGCCCTAACTTTCTAGATTAGTCAACACTAGGGCTTCCAAAGCTTGGGAAGTAGGCCATGCTGGTCCATCCTTTTTTCAAAGCCTGAAAATAACACTGCTAAAGCCCAGGGCTCTGGACCCATGGACTTCCTGCTCTTATAACTTTCCAATTTGGAAATCCCCAAATTGATTTTGACTAATGAGTGGGTGATTCATTGGATCCTTTAGCCAATGTTAGCCATGGTTCTACCATGGACAGGCCCTGGTACTGTGGAAGACACAATAGCAGAGCCTGGTTGGTTTAGTCCCAGAAGTACTTATTGCCTAAAGTGGTAGTTTGAAAGAAAATGGTCCCCAGTGACAGTGATACCATTAGGAGGTGTGGCCTTGTTGGAGTAGGTATGGTCTTATTGGAGGAAGTGTGTCACTGCGGATGTGGGCTTTGAGGTCACACTCAAGCCAAGCCCAGTGAAACAGACCACTTCCTTCTGTCTGCTGTTCAAGATGTCAGAACCCTTAGCTCTAAGCAAGCAGCATGTTGCATTGCTCCCTGCCACGATGATACTGGGCTGACCCTCTGAAACTGTGAGTCCCCTCAGTTAAATGTTTTCCTTTATAACAGTTGCCATGGTCATGATGTCTCTTCACAGCAATAAGAATCTTAACTAAGACACTGCCTAGCTCCAGAGATGCTCAGTAAAACACTTCCACTTACACAAAAGAGAATATGAATGTGAAATACTGGTTCAATTTAAAAAGCATATTGAGGCAAGGGACCGCTGTTAGTCACACATGTCTAGATTCCCAGTGATGTGCTGTCATCCCCTCCCTGCCCTCTCTGCTGGGCTTCCTGCACTACTCCTGTGTGGTCAATTTTCTTTCCTCACCAAAATGGCCCTCTAAGGGAAAGGGTTGGTGCAATCAGCATTTTACCCTCAGGGAGTAAGTAGCTTCCCAGTGAGTGAGTTGGAAATCTAAAGGCCTTCTCTTCTCCAACTCTGCACTCTTGCCATTAAGGGTAACTGCTTTTAATTGTTCTAAAATTACAGGTATTACCTTTCCCTTGTAAACACACCCTTGCGTAATCACTGGCTTCCAGGAGTAATAATCAGCGAGTTTCTGGTGGTCTAAAGCACTTGCCAAGTTAAATTCCTTCCATGCACCCATACAATTCTTTTTCTTTTGGTAGGTCTTAGACTAATTACATAGCACCTCTGTGGGCTTACTTCCTTCTGATCTACATAGATTTAGTCATTCAAAGGTGAAAACAATGTCTCTCAGACAAATTGCACAGCTCATGTAATATCCAGAACCATCTTTAAAGGGCAAATCAAGATATCCATACTTAAATTTCTGCCTCCTGAGTGCTGGGCTTAAAGGTGTGTGTCACCACTCCTGGCTGTTTATTTTGAGATAGGGTTTCACATAGTCCAGGCTGTCCTCAAATTCATTATATAGCTGAGTGTGACTTTGAACTCCTGATTTCTTCTGCCTTATTCTACTGAGAGCTAGGATTACAGGCAAACATGAGCACCACTGGCCTCCTCTGACCATTCAATGCAACCTATTTTCGCAGGTGAGCAAAGGGAGGTAACACCATGCCCCAGACTCACCTGGCCTCTTGTGGGGATGAGAAGGATGACACGGATGATGGGGACACACTAGGTCCAGATGAGGGTCCAGAGGAGTGAAAAGAGTTGTTGCTGAAGTTGCTGTATCTAAAAAGCATAGAGGTTTGGATTGGAGACAAAAAAGTGAACAATAAATATAAGTAACATTTATAAATAAGATTTAGCAAACCTAGCTTTTTGCAAGAAACATATTTTTGAAGATTCTACTGCAAATCATGATTATTTAAAGCTACAGAGATTTACTCAGCTTTGCATTTTGATAAGTCTTCATTAAAGTAGTTTCCCCAAACTCCAAAACCCACCAAGTGAGAGGATTCACAACAAAGGTTTATTTTGTAAACACATATTAAAATTAATTGTGAGCATAAATCAAGAATCCGAAATGTGTTCATCTGAACTATGATGATCTTTCTTGCTACTGTGATGGTGCAATTAGAAAACCATTGGAGACCTGTGGAAATAACATTTGCCTGACAAAAGAAACGTCTTATTATTGCACATTCTGCCTCAGGCCATTTTAGTTCCATCATACTCCTTTCCTATATTCCCATGGAGTGTCTATTTCCAGGCCTTCTGGACTAGCTTGCTGCTTAGAGATGAAGGCATCTATGGTTTCATCCAACGCTTGTCCTGACTGAAACCTGCAGTGAACTTTGTTACAATAAAGTGAACTTTGATCTTTTCCCAGTCATCTCTATTTGTAGGATTCTGGAGCTTCCTGTAGCAGGAACATCCTCCAGCAGTTTCTTCTATGCAGCTGTCATCACTGAGGGTGGCTCCCAGGAAACAAATCACCATCTGAAGTTTCATCTAAAGCTACTGTACATGTAGGGTGTTTTCCTTCCTTACATAGCATATCACAGGTGAGGCCAATTCATCCCTTAAGCTGTTTAGGGACACTATTAGGATGTGTGGGACCATGATGGTCACCATAATGAACACATACAAAGATCTTCTTGGACATGAAAAGTGTAGACTGAACTCCCATCAGCAGAGACAGGTACTTCTGAGAAGTTCTCCGATGAGATGTTAGTGCCAGAAAACAACTTTCACATTTCTAATGTTCACATGAGAAAATATTATATAGGAAAATGCTCAATAGTATATTATTATTTAGCTTGTGGCAATAGTTCAACCAGGTATGAGACAGTTCAACCAAGGAAGCATGGATTCTTACTCATTGATGGTTCACTGATACTGCAACTATAAAAGCTGACCAATTTTATAACTGGCATCTTGAAAAATATTAATAAATAGGTTGGATAGAAACACCAAGATATAATATAGTTTAGTCACATTGTGCAAGAATATTCCAAAATTAAAAAATCGATAAAAAAGTATGTTCAAGGGTCATCTACTTTTAAAAAGTGGGAGATGGATACAAAATTTCAAGTTTTAATAAAATTCCTACAATAGAAAATATTCATATCCCCTTACTCTAATTCTGTGCTTCTAACTCTGTCAGGTTGGCCATTGCTTCATCAATCTGTGTGTTATCACATGCCAGATGTGTACTCAGAAACAGGTCCTCCCCATCAGGTCCTCAGACCACAGGGCTGGCCAGTGTCCCTTTTCCATTAATATGTCACTTTCTTGGTTCCTGGGCATTTGATCCCTTTTCCCTTCCTCTTCTTCCTTCCAGGCCACACTGAGACTGAACCTGGGGCTTTACAAATGTTAGGTGAATACTCTAACATTGAGCTGAATTCTTAGACCTTTTGCCATTTCTTATATTGAGACAAGGTCTTCCTAAGCTTCCCAGGCTGGCCTTAAACTCACATAGAGCCCAAACTGGCCTTGAATCTGTGATTCTCTGGAGTAGCTGGGATTTCAACATTTTTTTTCTCCTTTCTTTAAAAATGTGCATGTGTCATGTCTAGTGAGTTAATTGCTTCTCCAGGTCAGCACTGGTTTAATTTTTCAGGACTCACAAGCCATAGGCCATGGAGAAGGCAGAAAAGCTGAGGACAGTGCATTAACTGATGCCATGGAGAGGGGAGGCAGAAACAGGATGACTAGAGCAGAGCAGAGTCGGATGCTGCCACCACACAGGCTCCCAGCTTGGCTGTCCACCAGTTGCCTGGACACTGGCTTGTTACCCTTGCCACTGAAACTCCATGTGGATATCCTGCTGAATGTTTTCATAGGATCATGTTGCTGAAATTATGTTTAAATGACGTTATGGAAATAAACCATGCACAATGTGTTTTCCCCTCCTTTGGTTTTCCTAATGGCCAAGTAATTAATTCGGATGCCTCGGAGCCTGCCCAGTTTTGCTTCTCAATTTCAGCCAAACTTACTGGATCATAATTCACTGTTCAGCATTTTTGTGTGTGAGGAGGGAGGATTCATTATAATGACTAATGTGTTGGTCCCTATTACAACCAATTCAATTGCAGTTAGGTACCAAGTAGCCAGATCTGTGGCCATTCAGACCCACAAAAAAAAAACTACAGCAAGTGGACATCAGAAAGTCAACCCCTAACAACAATAATGAGAGCCTTATCAGACAAATGGCCAGCTTCACTTAGTTAAACCAAGACAATCTTCACTCACAAACATGTGACTGTGTTTCATAACACACACACACACACACACACACAGAGAGAGAGAGAGAGAGAGAGAGAGAGAGAGAGAGAGAGAGAGAGAGTCAGCTGGGTAATTTACAGGTTCCTGTTATTCTCATTTCTAAGGACTATATGTACTAATGAAGCTTAAAGAATCAAGAACCCAGCAAGGAACATTCAGGTGCTGACATCATTCCCAGGAAGTACAGAATTACCACAACAGGCTGATCCCTCACTGGGAAAGCCGAGGTTTCCTGTAATATCTATCAGGCCAAGCCAGCTAGCTACATGAAGATACTCTCTGGGAGGATGGATGGCTGGCTCATTCATGCTGGACTCACTGGATAAAAACTGTGTGCTAGACTACAGCAATGTCAGTATTTGGAACTTGAAACAGACCTATAGGGAACCCAGAATTCTGAACAAGAAGAACTATGTCTCAAATGTGTTCTAAGTATGGCTTATTCTTTAGCTGGCTCTACCAGAGCTGCTCTAATGGCCATCTTCTCCAGCCAGCCTCTCCTCCCACCATGGCCTCCCACTTTTAGAAAGGAGAAGAAACACCCTCCAACAGACTGAATCCATGTGTGTCTGACTGTAATGGTTTGAAAGAAAATGGCTCCCAAAGTGGCGCTATTAGGAGGTGTGGCCTTGTTGGAGGAAGTGTGTCACTATAGGGGTGGGCTTTAAGGTCTCCTATGCTCAAGCTATGTAAGATGTCACTGATCACTTCCTGTTTCCTGTAGATCAAGATGTAGAACTCTCATATCCTTCTCCAGCATCATGTCTGACTGCATGCCACCATGTCCCACCACAGTGATAATGACTAAACCTCTGAACTGTTAAGCCAGCCCAATTAAATGTTTTCCATTGTATGAGTTGCCATGGAATCATGGTGTCTCATCACAGCAATAGAAACCCTAACTAAGATACTGGCAAACCTTAAAGGGTAAATGAAAGGAATATTTCAAGATTTTTTAGATTGTAACCCAAAGGGGTTACCAGTCAGAAATTAACCCTTCAGTTATCAGATTGGAAGCCTGGTTACCTTGGAAGACTGGTCACATCATGGTGGGAAGAGCTGCCTCTTAGTCAAGTTTTATAAGGCTTTATTTGAAACAAAGTTAAAATTCTTGCCAGTCACTGAGACTTGGAGGTCCACATATCACAGGCTGTGGTGAACACTTTACCCTTGTAAAAAAAGACTCTGCCTGAAGATTCCTGACAGAGGTGTTGCAAGCCCAAAAGGAGAGCCATGGAGCTACAGGAGAACAGCTGGCAGAAAATCACCTGACTCTGGGACAGGCTTCCTGGTACTGTAAACACCTCTCCATGTACTCAGGCCAACTCACTCAGCCTTTCAGCCTCGGGTTCCTGACCCGAGTGGTAGTGATAGAGCCTGTTTCTTAGGAACCAAGTGAGACTTGGAAGTTCCAACTTCATGGGAAACAGAGAGCCTGGCTCATAATAAATGCTTAGCAAAGTTTGTTCTCTCGTTATTATGCTAAAAGGGAGGGGGTTACAACACTGTGAATAAGGATTGTGGAAATACAAGATTTTAGATATATTATGTTAAATGAATTATATTATTAGGATGGGTTTTACCTGTCTAGTTTATTACTTCAAAGGCAATTATTTGGAGCTGGTGAGATGGTTCAATGTATAAAGAGGCACTTGCTGTCAAGCCTGATGACCTGAGTCTGATCCCCAGGACTCACAGGAAAGAGATAACTGATGCCCACGAGTTGCCCTTTGACCTTTCACCTATACCCCCAATAAATAAATGTAATAAAGTAAATATAAAATATAGAGTACAGCCACTATAAAATGAAGATATATACAAGTATCACCCACTCTGCACTCCAGCACCACTCCAGACTGGAGCAACAGAAGAGGCTGTTAGTTATATGGCAGGCAAATGAGAGTTAAACTTTCCCTGTGAAGGCTGACTTAGCATACCTACCTCCAATCTACCACCAAGACAATTTCTTATCCCAATACTTGAATGTTCATAAATAGATAATGTGAGCATTTTAAGACTCCAGTGATTGGTTCAAACTACAATTCTGTGACATTAGCAGCCTTTGGAAACACAAAAGCACATATCAGAAAAAGCAGGAAGCTACAGGAAAAGATAAAGAAAGCACAGATAGGATGCACACTTATTAGAAGAGAAAGACCAGAAGTTAGACTCTGCAGTGGCAGTGCAGTGTCAGGAATTGAGGGAGCTGGGGAGGGAAAGAGCAGCTCTCTGACCATGCTGCAGGCAGAGGGTACAGCACTCTGTCTCTGCAGTACAGTACTTGCAGGCCGGAAAGATCATGCTGGACACACAGATCCCAGTAGACTGTAGTTCTAAAACCTATTATTAGTAGTTACATTAAAACCACAGCTTTCCTTAGTTCACACAGGTGACTATTTTCTTTTTCATCTCACTGTTCCCATTAAGTCAGTGCTCAGAGAGTTAGTTGATCCACAGTGGCTCCGTATCTGAGTGAATCCACAAAACACAACCAAAGACAAGTGTGGGACATAGGCAGTCAGCTGTGTCTTCCTCCCTGGGTTAATCACACACAGGCCACACTGCAGGCCAATCTACCTGTTTTCTGTCTGAGCGTCTCCTCCCTTGTCCTTGGTGAGGAGGGGTGAATCTTCAAAGTCATAGGAGAAGAGGTGGAAGGGGCTGTGGGGCACGTAGGGCAACTTGTCTATGGTTGGAGACACCTTTGGTGCAGTAGAGGGCCGAGGAGCCAAGCCAGGGCTGGGAGGTGACAAGAGGGCAGGCCGGCTGGCCTCAGACCCAGTGGTCCCACTAGAGGCTCATGCTGCTGTGCTGGCTGGAGGCCACCTTCCCTGTGAGGTGGTGGTGGGTGCAGAACCCTCTGTGGCAGCATCCTTCCCAGGAGAACTGTGTCTGGAGGCAGAGCTGGCCTCGCTGTTGGTCCAGAAAGGCCAGGCAGAGAAAGGAACAGAGATTTGAGAGAGGGAGCAAAGGTTAGGAGAAAGAAAGGCTCCTGAAACCTCACTATGCAGGGGCCACCATTCCTGTTTCTTGAGACAAAGGAAGAGTCCACCAGCAGTCACCCCTGGCTAACTGAGGGGGATAGATCATCAGAGAGCAAGGAGACATCTCCCAGACAGTAAGCCTCTGGGTACACAGATGCTCCAGAAGGGTTTTACTGTTCCCTGCAGGCTCTTCTTGCCCACTGTCCGCATCCTCCCTGTTTCTCTTTGGGATACTCTGACTGAAATTTCACAATTTAAACTTCATCTCTTTGTCTTACTCACAAAAGACCCATCCTCCTGCTGAAAAGAGAGTGCTTTAGTAGTGGCTTTCAGAGCTCTTTCCAATGTAGATATAGATGTGAGAAAAGGGAAAGCAAGGAAAATACCACACTGAAGAGAGGCAACAACAGAAGGGAGATGAATTGTGTCTGTTTCTCTTTTCCCAGGGCCTAGCACTAAGCCTTCAATATGTGGGCTCCTTCAGTCAGGCCTATAGCTACAGTGACATGCTGCTATTTCCAAACAGGGCCGTCACAGGGAATGGTGCATACACTTAGTAATTTGATTGTGTCATTATGTAAGATGTAGATACACAAAATTGTCATGTGGCTGTCTTAAATTTAGGCAGTATTTGTCAATGAAATAAGTTTTAAATAAAAAAACTCCATCCAGAGGAGTGGAGTTAGACATTTGAATATGTTAACACATTAATGAGAACCTATATAAAATTGCATGTTTCAAAACCATTGCCATGTCTCCCAGACAACCTGACTGACATCCATGCTATAAGAAGATGACTTGAGAGAAATAGCTGTAAAATTTAAGGTATCTGTAAGGAATCTGGGAGGAGTTTACTGTGCCCTGTGGGCTCTTCTGTGCCCACTTTTTGTACCCTCCCTGTTTCTCTTTGGGGTACACTGAGCAAAGAGAGAAAAGCTTTACTGAAGTGAGCAGATGACAGCAGGCTCTCTGAAAGGCTGGAGGTCTATGTTAGGTGTCCTGGGTATAAACATGAACACTAGGTAAGTTTTCAGCGCTATATAGAATAAAAGCTGTTCCCTTCCACTTGTATAAAATGATATTTGAATAGTTAGCAAAACAGTTGCCTGTTAGCTGACATTGAACTAGCAAAATTAGGAAAGGGAGAACATGCAGTATTCTTACTATGGTCCTTCATGGAAAGATCTTAAACCTCCCAAGTGGAAATTAGTCTTTCTAATCACCCCGCCAACCTGGGTGAGCAAATGCCTTGGTGATAGAGGGAGGGATGCTCAGAAAACGATTGTGTGGTCATGGTCAGTCAGGCAGGATTTGAGTGCAGAGTGCGGGCCTCAGATGAAAGTGTGTTCAGGTATTTCTACAACAGCATTCTATGGCTTATGTGCAGGGACATGAGGGCTTGCCCTTGTGAACTGGGAAAGGACGGGTGGTCATGAAGAAGTGGTGGCAGCAAGTGGTCTATGAGAAAGGAGCCTCTGGCTCTTGGTATG